TTCGATAGAGACCAAACTCTCGAGACATGTTTCCTAAATATAATGGAACCTTTAGGAACTCTCGGATCGGAATTTGGAGGTTGAGGACCCCACGGGGTCCCCGGTTGACTTTTTGAGAATTTATCGCTCTTTGAGTCTCGAGTCTTTTCAGACCGTTCTAATAATTGAAAATGCTTAAGTGGGCATAGGAATGGTCTTAAACTTGGTGCACATATTTTTAGAAGCCGAGGGTCAGGGTTTTGGATTAAATGATTATGTTGAGCTATTTTATTAATTAAATATTTGTAATAGTTTAAATAGGTACTCGGGCTCCATCAGACCCGTAGGAGGTACCCTCTAAGGGTCAAGCTAGCTCGGACGCTCCATGAGTGGACTTTTATTTTATAAATGATTTTATGCAATTAAATTTCATTATTTGATCTTGAATAAGTTTTATTGACTATGGTTTTCCAAGCATGATTGGTTGGATTTGAATATTTTTTATTTATGTGCGGCCATGTTGGAAAAGCAAAAGGGCTTGAAAGGTAGAAATTGAGATGATTGCTGGATCGAATGGTCTAATGAAAAATAAATTATAGTTTTCATGATGGGCAACAGGATTTAAGGATAAATAAGAAATAGTTTTATAAACCTTAATCTTTTTCAGAAATATATAATTATTTTAAACCACCATAGGTACCCAGGAATTATAAAATGTTGCCTCGGTATAAGTGTTGCCTCGGAATAAAAAGTTGCCTCGGATTTAATGTTGCCTTCGGTTTAGTCAGCGCGTTTGACTTTTGCCCCACGAGTCTTAAGAATATCCAGACTGTGTGAGCAAGGAATGCGGATCAGGTTGACCAAATGTCTCCTGAATCCAGCGAAGATTGCGGCTTGGGTGACTTTGTGTTCCTGAGGCCTGCAAGGACATTTCGCTTCAGTGGCAAGAGGAATTGACGGAAAACAAGGGAATTGACGGAAATATAATGGGTACACCTAGGTGGTAGAAAGTTATTTCTTTTTGAGGATTTTAATTGGTTGATAATTTGTTTAAATGATTGAATGTTTATATAAATATAGATATGCATGCTTGACTCCTGTACGAATATAGTAGGCAATTTGATTAAGTTTTCTAAATGTTTTTACGGAGGGGTTAGTACGTTCTTATACTATTTTCTAAAACATTATTTTTGTCCACTCACATTTTTGAATGTTTTGCGCCCCCATGCATTATACGTGCACTAGACTCACATTTTTGAATGTTTTGCGCCCCCATGCATTATACGTGCACTAGAGCGCCACCACAGGGCAGACTCCATTCCATCCCATCCTATCCTTATGTAGGAGTTCTCATGTTTTCAAACTGTTTCATTGTAAATATCTGAATTAGCTTGATCTGATGAATTGCCCTAGGACTTTCTGTATGGCCTGAGGCCGTTTAGTTTAGTTGAATTGTTTGGATGTAAATTGAAAGCATGCTGGCAGTTTGGTTTTATATATATGCTTGTTTGACAAGTGGAAATTTTGGGAAATGATCAAATTACAAAGGGGGACTCTGCTGAATTTTCGGCAGAAGTCAAACTTGAATTAAACTTTGAATTTTAACTAGAAGGTCAATTTAGTCATTTGTGCCCGGCACCCGCCAGATGCCGAACACGGACAAGATTCGGCTCGAATTCCAAAGTGGAATTTGGGTCGGATCCTGTCAAGATGTCTTAACAAAAGTTGTTTGTGGAAGAGTATTTCATGACTTGCTTACTAAGTTGGGCATTGGTGACATATATGCACCAACTTGAGGACGAGTGTTGACGTGAGTCTCCTAATTAATCAAGGAGATTTATTTCCTTGATATTTCCTTGATTAATTAAGAGATTTACTTTCTTATTTTATATAGTTGACAAATTATTGTATAATTAGGAGATATTATCCTAATTGATTACTGTATCTATTTCCTTGTAAAGCACTCATGTAAATTCCTATATATACCTCCTTATGGAGAAGAATAAAACTTAACCTAAAGTATTCAAACCATATTCATATTTTAGCAAGGGTTTCCCATCCTCATTCGTTTTTTTTTTTTTCTATCTCTCTCTACTTTCTTGCCGGCGTATTTTCCTCTCTCTCCTTTCTCACAAACCAAACTTTGTGTGACAAGAAGACGTTGATGTTTTCAAAGGATGGATTTTGGTTAATTAGTGCAATGCAAAGAGCTAGAGAGAAAAGAAGGGTGTTTGTGAGCCTAATCGGAAAATAGTGAGTTTTGACAGAAACGTAATCTGTGCTGATTTGGATATACTACAACCATTGGATTATTCGAACGGCTAAAATATTTTTTAATGGTCTAATATCTTAGAAAGAAATTAGAACGGTCTAATAATACAAGGGCTCGTTTGTTACACAGGATTGGCTTAGACTAAATTTAGTACCATGTTTGTTTTATCCAGAGGCGGATCCAGGAATTTTTCAAGGAAGGGGCAATAACATTTTGATAGGACGGAACTCAAAAAAATTAAAGAACATATTAAAATGATTATTATAATGAAATATTTATATTACAATAGCTATAATCAAGTAATTGAAGCAAAATAATCAATCTTAAAACTATTTTATCTAGGCTGACTTGGCAAAGAAATAAGAAAAGCTAGGGGAGGTTTGTAGAATTATACATACATATCTGCTGCTGTGATAACGATTTGGTTTTAACAGATAGTTCAAGACTCAACATTTCACTTTTAACTAGTTGGGCTGTAAGTGAGGTTTTTATTCATTTATTGTTTATTTATTAATTTTGTCAGAGTTTGGGCAAGAAAAGGAGTATGGTAGAGTTTGACTTTTTAAAAACTTCAATGAAAGGTGCGTTTCATTAAACAAAAGGACGACGTCGTTTCTTAAAAAGAAAATTAGGGTATTGATTTATCTTCCTCCTTCGTGAACCATCGCCTCAGCCTCCATTAGAGACGCCTCAGCCTCCATTAAAAACACCTCTGCAACACATCGTGCACCTCGCATCGCCTTGAACCATGCTACTATATGTAACTTGCCAAACGATTGGCTCCTTGAGGCGATTTCCAGAACCCTTACATAAAGCTTTAAAACCTTGGGCGCTAGCGCAGAGGGGCAAATCTAGCACCTCCATGGCTTTTTTCCGACGAGGGGAGGTGCAGGTGCACCTCCTTGCGCCTCTGTAGGTCCGCCACTGGTTTTATCTAATCCTAGTCTTAGATGGGATTGTTAATACCGCACCCACCAAAAACACCTCCTTAGGAGGGGACTACTAATCCCATGTGGAAAGGGAGGATTAGCTAGTCCCAATGCTCACCAATGTATAAAATGCATATATTATATTGTAAAATTAATAACATATATTATTATTATTAAACTTACTTACACATATACCATAATGTACATATATACATGTATATACACATATATACATATATACATGTATATTATTATTATAATATACCCATATACACATATACATATTAATATTATAATAATAGCATACGTGTATATATGTAATATATATTATATATTATATATTATAATACATATATATATACTATACATACATTATACATATATAATATATGTGTATATAGGTGTATATATGTATATTATAATATATACATGGGTATAATACATATATATATATATGTATGTATTTTATAATATATATATACATGTATATACACATACATGTCACATATATTATAAAATACATATGTACACATACATAATATATGTATTTATACATATATACATATACATAGATAGTTTTGAAAAAATAAAAAAATCTAGTCCTAGTCCAAGCGTACACCAAACGCAGGATAAGTGTTATCCAACTTAGACCAAGCCAAGCCAAGCCAAGACAGTCCCTAAGCATAGTCCATGCCAAGACAGTCCTGTGTACCAAAAGAGCCCCAAAGGTTTTCGACCGGCCTATTTATCTATGGAATGTGAAGTTTTGGTTTGATGTCTTTTAGCATATTGGATGGGTTAATCCAACTATCGGTCATGAAACCATACAATATCCGACTATGCCTACGATAATATAAAAGCTTTTAGAGCCACACAATTAGGAAAGTTACAAAACCAGATACAAGGATTATCGAGTTGATGACCAAAGTTAGCCAACTCATCTGCTACCATATTTGCTTCACGAAACACATGTGTCGAAGTTGAAGGACTTAAAACTCTGTCAATAGTCGTCGAATATCCGAAAGTCAAAACAAAGCGTCGGGGAGGATGTTGATTACCCTTTAACAAATCAAATTATATGTTCTTTGATAAAATTATAAAATAAAAAAAAATAAAAAATCAAATTATATGTTCACATGTTGGAAGATACAGTAATTTGGTTACATTTTCCCAAGTCTAAAATGACAATTTATTATTAAACGAGTTAAATAAATAAATAAATAAGATTTGAGAAGGAAGGCAATTTGATATGCTAACGCTACCAAAGGAGACAGAACTCCCAAGGTACAACAGGAGCGGAGAATATTTGTATTTCGAAAAAAGTGGTTGACGTCTTTTTTCTGTTTTTGAACTTTAAATACTTTTTTTTTTTTGGCAATAAAAAAATCGTCTCTCACTAAAATTAAAACAAGCGAGCCTATATGACACACATTCGGAGCATAATTAATAGAAAAAATACCTAAACTATTCATTAGCTCGAGCACATCCGCTGCAAGAATTTACCTTATGCTAGTCGACATTCTTGATAATTATCTTTTTGCCAAAGTTAGGAAGGGGGAGGAGGAAAACTCACACACACGGATACCATGGAGGTTTGAACTTAGAACCACTTAGAAGCACACCAAAGGTCTAGGCCAATCCAACTAACACCCTATTGGTTCGACATTCATGATCATTACTCCCAGAGACACATCCCATAAGAAACCTGAAAATACTAGGTTTAACCTTATGCACAACATCTCCATATATAACTTAACCATAGTATTATGCAACCAAAAATAAATCAAGAAATAAACTTGACCACATATAATAAGTGTACAACTTGTTACCCTGCTATATATAACCAATGCATAATTTCACAAAAGAAAGGTTATACATAATTAATTACCCCTAGACCACTAAATTAACTACTTAATTAATCAACTGATCAGTTTCCACTAGACACCTAAGAATGTTCACCTGTAGCTGGAGACAAGAAATGTAGCTTCCTACTTCTGCCAACAATTCACTTTCTTCACCCATCTCATTCCCACCCGGTAAAAGCCGTCTTAGAGATGTCAACTTCCTCTCAATAATCTCTGCCTCTTTGCTTTTCTTTGTCTTTCCATTGATGGCTAAATTTCTTTTCAGAAAATGTGGCCTGACCTTATTAGGCATATTATGATTCGAGTACCTCTTCATCTTGCTGGCATTAACACTGAGCTTTGGGAGAAAGTTCAAGGGCTTAGGAACATGATGACGTGGCAATAATCCCTCACCATATATGAGTACATGTCTTGTTTGGAGCTGTTGTTTCAAGGCACGGCTCCATGCAAACTGATAAGTTGAGGCAGAGAATACCATTGCCATGTTCACTTGGTACCCAACAAGTTTCTCTAACTTAGAGTTAGAGTAGTCTTCATCAACATTTTTGTTTGATGAAGAAATGGTGTTTTCTTCAAACATCTTCTTCAGAGCCGGCAATAAGTGACTTAGATATTTTCTTGCAAACACAGAACGTGCCAATTTGATGGGATGAAGAGAGTAAACTCGTCGATGTTGTTTACTCATTTGCCTCATCACCATTAATGACAAATAAGAAAGGAAAATGCTAGCTGACACACTATTTATAAAGTGAAAATAAAGGGATGGAAGAGCAATCTGACAAGAGCAATGAAAATGATAATTAAAGAGGAAAAGTAATATGGTGGTGGTGATGGCAGCGGCGGCAAACCAAGCTTTCTCTATGGAGTAATGGTGGTGGAAGCACCTGGTTTTATACAAATGCTGGTCATGGATATGGCATATATAGGGGTGTGACAGCTTAAAAATATTAAAAGAAAACAAATTTATAATAGAAATATCAGTGTCAGTTACAAGAAATAAAACTGTTCATTGGCACCAGATAGGATTGATGTGGAAATTTCACTATTGTGATCTCTAGAGAGAGAGGGAGGTACTATAGCTTTAACAAGGATTTGGTTGCAAAATGTTTGGGTGGTCAATTGGCCACATGGCCTCACATGCTTTCATTTCCTTTTACACCTACCATGAAAGAAAGGACTCTTTCCCATGTGCATTGAGAGGCAAAAACACCAAAACCCCACCATATAAATGCCCTCACATGACTCCAGTCCAGTGGTACTATTTTTTCTTTGCCCTTCAAGGGTCTCTCCTTACTCTCAACTTTTTTCCCACATTTCAAATCAAACAGCTCACTCCTACTTCAGTCCACTCCCCCCTTTTTCAACCCTAGCTACTTGCTAGTATATGGTACGTATCTTTTTAGTTTCTTAGTTTTCCTATATATGGTATAAAGAAGAAAAAGATATACATGGAACCAAATGACCTACTATGTTGCCCTAATTTTTACTACTTACCTCATTATTTCCAAGCTCTAGTCTTAATTAACTGATTCCCTGCTCTCTTTTTTTCTAGCGTCCCGACGCATAACTACTCGTAATTTATGCTAGGATCTTGTGACACAAATAAGAAAAAGGTTACCTACTGATGTGTCCATTCTGTAAGAAAGAACATACGTCTTGTTAAAATAGGCATCACACTCATAGACGAAGTTATACAGTCTTGTTCTATTTAGGGATCCTTTAAATAATTTTATTTGAGAGACACCATTTGGGGTCCATTATGAATTTTTTTTCAACGATCCGAACCATCTATTTTTCAAGTCTTCATTCATAGATCATCCTTACAAACAAAAAATTAGACAAATCAAAAACCATTAAGACATTTAGTTGTGAAGACCAACAAAACAGACGAACAAGAAAATACTAAAATGATAACCATTAGCGCATTTATCATGATTGGAAATTTTATAATGGCTTTGTGCAGCTTTGTTTGTGGATAACATGATGAAAATAACTTTGTGGCTTTTTTTTTCCTAGCACTTGATTGATTGGAGGATCACTACTGTATTTATAGTTCCCTTCTATATATTGAGGGATATTCCTCAAATAAACACCAAAACCCCACCATATAAATGCCCTCACATGACTCCAGTCCAGTGGTACTATTTTTTCTTTGCCCTTCAAGGGTCTCTCCTTACTCTCAACTTTTTTCCCACATTTCAAATCAAACAGCTCACTCCTACTTCAGTCCACTCCCCCCTTTTTCAACCCTAGCTACTTGCTAGTATATGGTACGTATCTTTTTAGTTTCTTAGTTTTCCTATATATGGTATAAAGAAGAAAAAGATATACATGGAACCAAATGACCTACTATGTTGCCCTAATTTTTACTACTTACCTCATTATTTCCAAGCTCTAGTCTTAATTAACCGATTCCCTGCTGTTTTTTTTCTAGCGTCCCGACGCATAACTACTCGTAATTTATGCTAGGATCTTGTGACACAAATAAGAAAAAGGTTACCTACTGATGTGTCCATTCTATAAGAAAGAACGTACGTCTTGTTAAAATAGGCATCACACTCATAGACGAATTTATACAGTCTTGTTCTATTTAGGGATCCTTTAAATAATTTTATTTGAGAGACACCCTTTGGGGTCCATTATGAATTTTTTTTCAACAATCCAAACCACCTATTTTTCAAGTCTTCATTCATAAATCATCCTTATAAACAAAAAATTAGACAAATAAAAAACCATTAAGACATTTAGTTGTGAAGACCAACAAAATAGACGAACAAGAAAATACTAAAATGATAACCATTAGCGCATTTATCATGATTGGAAATTTTATAATGGTTTTGTGCAGCTTTGTTTGTGGATAACATGATGAAAATAACTTTGTGGCTTTTTTTTTCCTAGCAATAGGAATCCCTCAATAAAATGGGACTGATATACTTAACACATGCGGTAATCATCTTCATTAACTTATACATAATATGCAACACGTAATAATCTCATGATCACATGCAAATTTGTCGTTGGAGCATACATATATATATATACGTGTGTGTGTGTGTGTAAGTGGGGCAAGATTCGTTGGGCCATGACCTCTAATCTATCAGACAATTCAAGCCTCCCATATAGGAAAAGTCTCCTCATTGAGTAGATGATCGTACACAAGCCTGAAGAGAAATTCAAACTTAAATGCAAGCCACCACCCTCAATGATTATCGGGACATCACTGCATGTGCATTGTCCAGAATCTACTGGTAACAAAATTTTTTTGAGATATACTCTTTCAATAGTGAATGCTCTATTTCTTGGTAATATTCTCTTTCACGAGGGAGGAGAGGTTGATCAAATCAAATCAGGCTACCTATGTCTTACCCTCAGTCCAAATTTCTGTCGCTTTGTTCTTGTGGGTGCCCTGCATTTTAGGCTTTAGCTCGGGCTACGGATGCTGGTGGTCCATACCACGTGTACAAGTTTGAAATCTGGCTCTGACGTTAAAGCGTACGTGGTGGTTGCGATCTTATACTTTGTTTATATACATCATTAATAAACACTCAGCAAACGTCAAGCTCATATGGTTAAATTTCCAAATAATTCAAAATTGCTCTTGTTAAAGAAAAGAAAAAAGTATTTCAAAACACAACTACTTCATTATAAAAGGACAAATACGTAAAATAATAGTCTATTCAAATGCAAATAATTCAAAAAAAAAAAAAAATTGAGTTCATGTCCAAAAACAATTTCTCTATAGAAAAGGATTTTAAAAAATTAAACAACGAAAAAGCCTATTGACGTGTGTGCTAACGTGAATCAAGAGGCTAGTCATGTATAATGAATGTACAACTACGTTGTTGTAGGTTCATTATACATATATGTTCATAATAATATACCTAGCTTAAAGGATCAAGATCAAAATCCAATAACAACAATGTTTAATATATAAGAAAAAGTCATTTAATCCAAGGTTGAAAATCTGGATTCCAAAAATCATGGTAGCTAGGAAAGATCTAAAGAGTACTCTAGCCCCCTCTCTCTCAAAAAATACTCTAGACTCACTTTGAGGAGGAAGAAGCCATTATTCTTCTTCCACTCTCCCCTCCTCTCTTCCCCACTTTTCAAATACAAAAGCTTTCCCCTATTTGTCTTTGTTTTATTATGATTTTCCTCCACTCATCACGGGCGGTTGCGTCTCAGCATCGGATCTCCACATGCGTTTCAATGTCGGATCTCTACCACCATCCTTTTTGTTTTCTTATTATTCTTTGTCCTTATTGACGGACCTGTGCAGGCACAAGGAGGTGCACCTATAACTCCGCTCATCGGAAAATTCATAAAAGGTGCTGCATTTTGCACCTTTGCTCAGACTAGGAGATGCACGCTAGGTGTTCAACGAAATGCCTAAATAGAGTGGGAGATGCGCTGTTGCGCGCTTCTTTCTTTTATTTTTTATCTTTAACAAAGCTTGGCCAAAACAACGTCATTTTAGACCAGCCTTTTTAAAACGCATTGCCTTTTTATTTATTTTTAATTTTGACCAAAATGACGTCGTTTTAGACCAGACTTAAAAAATAAATAAATAATAAATAAAAACCAAGAAACTTGTTGGTGCTGCCATTTCGTGGTCTTTTAATAGGGCCTCCATAATTCCTTATTTAAATGGGATTGGGAGTTCTCTTTATTTAATTGGGATTTAATAGGACTTGCACAATTTCTTATTTAAGTGGGATTCAGAATTCTCTTTATAAAGGACCAATTTAACATCACCCAATTTTATCAAAGTGTGCGTGCATCACAAGAATTATGCTTTTTTTTTTCCTTCTGGAGTACGCCAATCCAAAGTAAGTTGGATGCTTTTTTTTTCTTGAGCAAACGCCAATTTTGTTTTTTCTTTTTTTTCTTTTTTTAATAATTTTTTTTCTTATTTAGCTCTCTCTATATTAGTAAGATCAGTAGCAAACTCGAGGAGGAAGAGGCTGCGCTACACACGATTCGAGGTATAATTAATTTGTTTATTTAATTGATAATTTGATATTGATTTGTTTATTTAATTGATAAATTATAGTCAATTAGTCATAGTTATACAACTATGTGTATTTACTTCGATTCTTATATTGGCTTCGGTTTTACCCATTGCAACTGCTGTGGTTGAGAGACCTTTTTCAACTATGAATATTGTGAAAACACCATTGCGTAACTAGAGAATCAATGGTTAAGTGATAGCTTGGTTATTTACATTGAGAAAAATGTTTTTTGTTGTATTAGTAATGCAAATATAATACGACGTTTTCATGATACGAAACCTCGTCGGCAACAATTGTATGTTAATTGTAATGTTATTTTTTTCAATTAATTACGAATAATATTAGTATTGTTTAAATTATAAGGATATTTAGTTATCTATCTTTTTTTGTTGTTGAGCTTTTAATCTTTAAAAATTACACATCTACTAAGAAATTTCTGAGTCCGTCGCTGTTTGTCCTCCAATATGTTTGTCACCTTCTTCACAAGAGGATTTGGTTGGGATTTTGAGGACACCACATGGGGAGGTTTTGTAGCGTTGCCTAGTTTGGAAGTATTAGATGGTTTATGTGGGTGATATATAGCGTCACATGCAAGATTGACAACAAGGAAATTCTGAAAGAGTACAAAAGAGAAAAATAAGGCAGCAAACACCCAACTACCAACTCATCATCATGTTGCCCAAAAATAGGGTTTGAACGATAGGCTAGAATTGCTCAAACGAGTTCCATTTTGGATCACAAACCAACTAACTACATGGCTTTTTCCTTGTCATTCGATGACCAGACAAAGGGTCCAATTTATCTTGCAAACTACGTCAGATAAGGGCATTACCGGAAGTCAATTTAAAATGATTTTAGGCAGTTTGAAATTTCTTA